TATATATATATTACATATATGTTGATGTATTATGCATGTTTATATGTATTTTATGTATGTATGTACTTTATGTACTTATGCATGTATCCGATCGGTATCTGTATCTAGTATAACTGTATGTGCTTATGCATATTGCACGATTCCTCAATGGCTGCTTGGCTGACTGGCTGACAGACATGCGGGCGGGCGGGCGTTCGGTCGAGCGAGCTGGCTCGGGCTTGGGGACTCTGGCTGGGTGCTAGCCTAGCACGTGTGGACCCGCAAATGGTTTTGTAGTGTGCTCTTTTGCCGGAACTGCTTGGGACAGTAGGAACAGTTGTAGGGCTTCTCTCCGGTGTGGATCTTCATGTGGTTATTGAGCGTGGCCACTTGCCGGAAGCTAACCTCACAGATCTTGCACTTGTACGGCTTCTCGCCCGTGTGCGTTTTGATGTGGTTGACCAGAGTGCTCTGTTGCGAGAAGAACCGCCGGCAGACGCTACAGCCAAACGGACGATCCGGATTGTCACCCTTCAGCATATTGATGTTGCCCACATTTAGTCGAACGCCCTGCGCATTCTGATAGTGCTCGACTTTGGTGTTGGCCGCCGCCGCCGCTGCTACATTGCTGGCCACCACAGAGCTCACCGTAGTGCTGCCATCGAGGAAGTGTAGCAGCGGATGATGGTCCAGTTGAAGGATGTTGGGCGTTGTGCTGTGCAGGTTGTTGGGTAGCAAGCCGCTCGTTAGCTGCTGCGTGCCGGGAACAAGGGGCGCTGGCATGGTTGAGTGATCCACTAATAGTCCATAGCATAGATGTATTGATCGTTGCATAGATGGGGTTGGTTGATTGATAGACAGTTCGATTAACCGTTCAGTTCAGTTCAGTTGGTTGTTGGTTGTTGATCGTTGTAGTTGTTGTTGGGGTGTTGATTGGTTGTTGATTGGTTTGCATGCGTACAAAATTTAAATAAAAGCTTCGTTAGGGAAGTGCGTTAATGATCAATGCACACAGTGATAACAGAAAGCGGCTCAGTTGTAGGGCGAACACACAAGCGGCTCACCTGTGGCTGTGACTGTGGCTGGCTGGCTGGTTAGATGTGTGTGCGTCTTCATGTGGTTGGTGAGCGTGCTCTGCTGCCGGAACTGCATGTGGCAATAGGAACACGTGTATGGCTTGTCGCCGGTGTGTATCTTTTTGTGATTGGCCAACGTCGCTAGCTGGCTGAAGGACTTGTCGCAAGTCTCACACTTGTACGGCTTAGGATCGATGTGCGTCCGCTCGTGATTGTGCAGCGTGCTCAGCTGCGGGAAACGTCGCTTGCACACACTACACTGATACGGTTTCACCAGCTCCTCCGCCTGTGGCGAACTGTAGGTGCCCGAATATAGAGTCTTTGAGATTTGTACACGCTGCTGCTGATGCTGCTGTTGGTAGGCGTTGTGCATCTGATTCGACTGCGATTTACGGCTGTGCTTGCCGGAAGAGGACGGCGGCTGATAGTTGAGTAGCGACGTCGGCGTGCTTGACTCAGCCGCTGCAATTGCATGAGTAGGTGTGTGTGTGTGTGGGTTTGGATTAAAATCAAGAATTGAAGTTATGGATTCTGAATGCTATATCTTATAATATATATGTCTTTATATATATAGATACACATGTCAATTCGATTCGCCTGTGCCGCACTTACCCTTATGCGTCTTGATGTGATTTATGAGCGTGCTCTGCTGGCGAAAGTCCTTGGCGCAAATATTGCACGTGAATGGTTTTTCACCGGTGTGGATCTTCACATGGTTGGTCAGCGTCGAGATTTGGCGGAAGGCCTTGTCGCAGTGCTTGCACTTGTAGGGACGTTCGTCTGTGTGTATTTTCATATGATTGCGTAACGTGGTCAGCTGCCGGAACTTGTTTTTGCACACGTGGCACTGCTTCTTCTTGCGCGGATCGTCCACCACAGATTCATCCTCGCTAATGACGCTCTGCACCTCCTGTTTCATGGGCGATATGGGCGTATGATTGCCACCGCTGTTCGTTGTGGTCGTCGAGATGTCGAGCAGGTGCACAAGCGGATGCTGTGGATGGAGCATGGCTTGATGGGTGGGATGCTGTATGGCCTGCACGGCAGTCAATTGATGCAAAGCAAACGGGCTCTGCTGCAGACTCGCAATAGTCGTTGGCTGCTGTAAGCTATTGGGGCCGATGCCCCCTCCACCGGAGCCGCCGCCACCACCGCTGCCGCCTCCTCCTCCTCCGCCACCGCCACCACCACCACCACCACCTCCTCCACCGCCACCGCCAACGCTATGCGTGGCAAGCTGTGCAGGCGCATAGTGCTGATAGTTGGCCATAGCAGCTGTCGCGGCCGTCGCATGGTTCAAATGCATTTTACTTGCTTTCGTTAATTAGGTTGCGCCCTTTGAGGTATTCGAGAAAATCGTCTGCGCGAGCGTCAGCTTTCTTATATTATTGTCTGCTCATGAAGGTAACGTTATACAATTAAGTCGAAAAGTCGCAGCCATTTGCACAAGCACCCCGTCAGTTTGTTATTTTAGATGTCTGCTCGTTTCGGTCGCGGCTGCTGCTTTGCCAACGGCCACACGTTGTGTTCCACGTATGCGCTGTGGCGCTCAATATGGTGTACACTTTGCGCGGCACAACATTCCACACACTTTGCAACGTTTTTGCAATTGCTTGTAGCGCTTTTTGTGTGATTTGTGCAAATTTTCTCAGGCCACGCTCTTTTTTATCCTTATCAAAACAAAAATGACTGGCGTGGTTTTCCAGGGCTGCCGAACGTTCAGAGCTGCATCGACAAGATTCGGTGCTCGTTCGACTACCTCCTATCGATTGCCAAAAATCAAATGCAACTTCTCATGAGGGCTGCTCACTCAAATCATCGTTACCTCAAAGCAACAAAGATATCGATAGTATATATCGATTGCATTTCGATACATCGCACACTTATATTTCTCATATTAATCAAATATTTAAAATATAATTACATTTAGTGAAAATATTTTTGTTTTGTTTTTTTTTTGTTTTTTTTTTTTTTTGTAAACAACGACGAAGCTAATTTACTTATGCAGTTTAAAAATGTTGTAATCATTTTGTATCATGTATATAAATTGAAGTAAAATGCTACTTAAAATAAAAAAAAAAAAACAAAAAAATTACGATTAATCGTAACTACGTTAAATAAGTGAACATTAACAAACATTTTGCCATGTTCTTAGTTGCAAGGCCAGCCAATCATTCTGAAATATTATAATATTTATGAATACTAAACAAAATACGTTAAACAAGATTTACTTACAATGCGTTCTATGAGCTCGCAATTGTCCCTTCATGAATTGTTTTTATGAGATCTGCGACACTACTAAAATTAATAGTCAGAGATACTTGAAAAAAGTGAGTGTGACAAGTTTGTGTATCAGTCGTCTTCCCAAAAAGAACTTAAGCAATTGTATAGACATTAAAATTAAAATGATCAACGAGAAATACAAGGTATGAGAGCAATGGGTATTTGAAAATTTCGCAAAACTCATTTATCATTCGAATAAGTCCATAATACGATTGGTGATATTTTAACATGTTCCGAGTTTTTTCATCACTTGGAATTGTGTCCTGAAGTAAGTATTCTAAGTAAATTTGAAGTTTAAAGAGGATCAGACACATTTGAAAGATTATAATAAAGACTATAGAATGAAATCCATATCGCAAAAGCCTTGTGAGCAAACCATTCAAA